CCCCCCGTAATGACTCTCTAGTAAAGTTAGGTCTAAGAAAGTCATTCTCTACTGTGTTCCTATATAATCTGTAACTCCCGAATAATACATAAATCTGTGTTTTTGTGCCTAATACTTATGTTGTAGTTTTATTTAATGTCTTTATCCATAATAAGAAACGCTTCAGCGTAATTTTGTCTTGGACAGGCTACCACTTGAAGGCGTTTACCATGCATTTTTAGCACACCAATCTGACTGTTTAAGTCTACAAAATTTTGTGAATGTACTCGTAAGGGGAGTTTTACGTCATATATATTTTTTTTAAGGTCGTCTGCCCTGGACGAGCTACCACTGGAAGGCGTCTGCCCTAGACGGGCTACCACTGGAAGGCGTCTGCCACGTGTTTTTAGGTTTCTAATATAATTCTCTGCCCAGAAAATTTCATTTGTGTACTCGTAAGGGGGGTTTTTGATCAAAATTCCCTTATTTGGGGGGCGGTCACGGGAGCGGGCTACCACCCATCGCTGCCAGACGAGCGGTTTTTGGTTACGAATGATAAAGTGTTTCGAGTACCTATAATGAAAATTTGGTGCCCGATGAGGGGGGTGATTTGACGCTGGGCCACCGGTCTATAGTGTTATCGTTAATATTGACTGTAGCAATTTTTAAACTGTACTTGATAAGATTGAAATACTTAGAGTCGATCCTAACATCATTCTTGACAAATTGCCCATATTTCGAGGTAGTCGAATGCTTTATGGAAGTCGACAAATAGTCCAAGAAACGGGGATCTAGAAAAAGGGTTTACCTCAACATAATTAGAAGTTAACATTTTTTGAAGGGGATCGGTCCATTTTCATGTTCTAAATAACATATTAAGTTTGCGACCTTATACTTCCATAGGGTTTTTAGTTAGGGGTGTTTTTTTAGGGGTAATTTGCGGTTTATGGAAAACGCTGCTCAAAGGGATGGTCCAATAGCAAGAAGTTTCAAATTATTGTTGTAGCTGAAGTTTTTTGCTATAAAAGACTCCGCGAGAGCACCCCTCTATCTTCTATAGTTTTTTTTCTGCAGCGTCTTGAATAGTAGCATGTTTTTGTTCAAGGTCACTGAATCAGCGTTTCGCCTGTTTGCGCGCATTTGGTGCAGCAGCGGCCGAATGCATAATCCGATTTTAATTATTCGAACACCACATTATTACTGATGAAATGCTCTATCTAATGCCTTTTTGTTCGAATTTTTGGCTTGAAAATTAAGCCGGCACGGACTCGCCTAATGTGCTAGAAAGTTGTAAATTGCATCAAAAACTACCCCTTTCTTGCATTCACTGTAATTTCTAAACGGGGCCAAATATTTGGGGACAGTTTCCTACAATCGGCAGCCCATTTATTCCTCTCATAATGCCCCAGCGGAATTTTCTTTTTCGTTAATAATTACTCAATGACCTATTCGCCTGAACAAGTCGCGCGGATTTTTTCAAAAAGTAAAAAAATACGGTACGATGGCTTTATTTATCGTTCTCATGAATATTCTGCAATTTTAATTGCTTCACATCACTGCTGGCTTAGCTTTATTCATGAGAACAATAAATCGTACCAATTTTCGCTGTGCGAAAATTTTAATTTTTTTTTGACTTTTTGAAAAATTCCGCACGACGTGTTCAGGCGAATAAACGTGTTCAGGCGAATAAGTCATTGAGTAATTAATGAAAAAAAAATCCGCTGAGGATTATAAGAGGAATAAATGGGCTGCCGATTGTCGAAAACTGTCACCAAATATTTGGTTTCGTTTAGAAATTACAGTGAATGCAAGAAAGGGGTAGTTTTCGATGCAATTTACAACTTTCTCCGTCCGTGCTGGCTCAATTTTCAAGCCAAAAATTCGAACAAAAAGGCACTAGATAGTGCATTTCATCAGTAATAATGTGGTGTTCGAATAAATAAAATCGGATTATGCATTCGGCCGCTGCTGCACCAAATGCGCACAAACAGGCGAAACGCTGATTCACTGACCTTGAACAAAAACATGCTACTATTCAAGACGTTGCAGAAAAAAAACTATAGAAGATAAAGGGGTACTCTCGCGGAGTCTTTTATAGCAAAAAACTTCAGTTACAACAATCATTTGAAACTTTTTGCTATTGGACCATCCCTTTGAGCAGCGTTCTCCATAAACCGCAAATTATCCCCAACAAACACGCCTAATTAAAAACCCTATGGAAGTACAAGGTCGCAAACTTAATACTTATGTTATTTAGCACATGAAAATGGACCGATCCCCCCCAAAAAAATGTTAACTTCTAATTATGTTGAGGTAAACTTCCTTCATTGCTTGGCCTAAAATGCAAGTTGAGGGGGAATATCATACTTTGGCACCTCTCGACGAGAATACGTATAGCTTGGAAATGATCGGCATGCGCAAAAATCTGAATTCTCTCAACAACCAATTATTAGTCGCGGGTTATATAGCAAAATGCCGTAAATCTGTCCAGGAAGTTGAAAAGCGATCGCTATTACTGAAACCCTCCGTAAAAGCCCCCTTGCGCAACTGGTTGGTAATAGTCCAATTTGTTTGCTAACCGGTTCGCTAATATTTTGGTACGTTATTTTTATTCTACTTTATGACATTTTTGACTTAACGGCTTGGTATTTGCGTTATCTTTTATCCTATTGTAGACAATTTGGGTATTGTGAGCTCTCATTTCTTCCCTAATTTATCTCTTGACCTTATCTATGCCATTTGTGCTAGTGTGCGTGCATCGCTGCCTCAAGGTCACTGCGACGTATGATATCTATTAGGAATTAGGAGCAACCTTTTGTATAGAGTAGTTCATCTAGTTCTATCTTTTTTATAAGACTCGATAGTTTCTGCTGTGTGTAGCTTATTGCCGCTGGTTTTGTTTCCTGACACTGTCTTCGCAAAGACAAAGGTTGTATTTTGCTGTCTCTTTCTCCTTCTGATAGAACCTGCAAAGGGTATCTTTTGTCAGACCGACTAGACTCATGTGTTTTCTTAGTCGACTGTACTCTGTTAGGAGCGACTATTACTCGAATAGTCCTTCTGCTGAGGCGTAGCATTTTCGTCGTGATTTTCTTCTCCGGGTTCTCCTTCAAATTCCTTCGACTGTCCCGGTAGGCTCATTCTCCACCTGGTGACATTCCGCGGAGCCAACGTCATCTTGTTCGGTATCCCGATGTAATTCAGTTTCTTGGCCCAATTGGCGGACCCGGACCCGGCCGTGATATCTTGTCATGAGCCTTTATTACTTCGATGGCCACTTGACTGTCTGGATACATAGTTGACCGTGGATTTGTTCCTTTTCTCCCTACTTTCTATTTCCTGCGCACAGTGTAAATTGGAAGTCATTTCAACCTCAAACACTGTTTCGTAGAGCCCAGCTCAAGTTCCTCGTGCTAGGGTTTCGGTTGGTCTCAGTTTTTTGAAGTAGGTATCTTCTGAAATTTCACTTGATATGTCTGACGTTTGATCACTCTGTACCTCTCCACTTGCGTCACAATAACCAGAACTGAGCAAACCAATCGATGACCAATTCCTGTATTGAATCTCTTCACACTGCTCTACAGATGTAGAATCGAAACCTTGAACAGGCGAACCCTGTGGTGCTTGCAAAATTTCCACCAGCGCTTCTTGAGACCAATACTTTAAAATAAAATGGTAAGAAGTCGAACGAACAGCAGTATCCTTGAAGAAACCAATTTTAAAAACATTGAGGGAATACTCAACATCAGCTACGCTAGGATGTTCATCCCGACTGCATGCCAGACTTTTTCCCAAGCAAATTACTTATTTAATCCCAACTGGAGAATGGCCAGCGAAACCAGGAAAGGCAATTTGATCGATACAAAGATTATGTAGCTTACTCAAAGGGGATGTGATCCTAAAAAACGACTTAAGCTACTTGAATCAAGAAAAAAAATCCAAGATCTCTCGTGAAAACCGCAGTCCTATATTCGAAATAGTCTTCGAGAAAATTTCTCATGAAGATAAATTATGTAGGAGCTTGTGATGTCACAACCACCGAAATCGCTGTCTTCTGTTCGTTCAGTCGTCAGTGAACCGTACCCTATACTTTGAGTGGTTGCAATTCGCTCTAGTGAGATAGTTGTAGTTTGTTTTGGAAAACTTTACACGTGTTAATATTGTGCCTGATAATTTGGTGTGACGTCACAAACACCTAGTTGTAACTTGTAACCGCCCTCGAACTCGAAAACGGACCATCGTAGCAAGATGCGGTTGAAATATTTCAAAAAATATATAAATAGAGATCAATTACCTAATGAAACACCACCGAACACTAGTGTGGAATCGAAAACAGCCAGTTTAATTTACACTGAAAGTCAGACACGGAAATTATGTATTATTCAAGTAAATTGGACAATGCAACAAGATAAGAATCAAGATTTCAGCTACTGATATTTTTATATTGCATTTACTGGAAATTCATTCAATACGTATTTAATTTCGAGATTCTCTTGATAAACTCATTGCGCGTCGAGAAATATAAATTTTGATATTCGTCATCAATTTGATATCTTGGTTATTCTATAAGAAAATATATACAGCAGATTGATACAACAACTGTAACGTCATTATGGGTGTGATTCCAAATAGCAAGTGTTGCCAAGTTGTGGAAGTCCTACAAATCACAACCAGTCATAATGGTTGAATAGATAAATGGAAGAATAAGTCGTACTCAGCTCATGTAAAAGCTAAAAGGTATTCTACAACTTAGCATACCTCTACAACTAGAATCGTAGTAGGTGTAGACACAGCTCATTCTTGTCGTTACGATGTATGGCGCAGAAACATATGTGTTAGAAAATCGATTTGGCATCGCTTTGAAAATGCATAAACTTAGAGAGCAAACTAAAGTTCAAGACGCGTTTGCCAGAACAGCTCTGTTAAACTGGTGCTGGGCAGGCCATATGGCCAGAAACTAAACCAACTGGAGTGGTAAGTTATTGAAACAGAGATCATGGATCCAGAAAAAAGGAGTGAAGGGCGGCCTCAAACACGATGCGTCAATGGTAACATAAGAATTGCCATATTTGAAGTTAAATGTTATCAAACAGCAAAAGATAGCCAGTCATGTAAAAACAAAAAAGTGGCTTGAGTATTTTTCGCTATAACATTATCCTCTTCGTCATAATGAATATTTTTTATAAAAAAAAGAAACATTTTATGCTGTCCAGTTATCTGCTGCAATTTTGACTGTTTCCTTATTCCGTCCGATAATAGTTAAATAAATGACATTGGAAAAAAAGAGCTTCAGTTCTACCTCATATATTAATTATACAATCGTTTCTGCAGTTCAACATCCATTATCAGTCGATAAGATGCAAGTTCAAAATATGAAAATTCAAATGGGTATAACTTCATTTAAATAAAAGCTTTATGCACACGAACATTAAAATAAATGGTCCACGACTGCGAGAAGTGGGAAAATCCAAGGTAAACAAGTTAAAGGGTACTCAACATAGGTATTCAATATTTTAAAAGCGGAGGAGGAAAATAATAAAATGGATGAAAAATTAAGTGAATGGGAAATATTATAGGTATAATTTGATTTTGATTTCCGTTCACGGTTCATGTATTTAGAGCATCATCATAAAATAATGCCTCGGTGAAATCCATTGAGCCTTTCTTATGTTGCAGAAACTCTAAGCTAAAATAATAGCCTACCTCAAGTCCTGATTCAAAAAGTAAAAAGTTACATCATACAAAAACATGGAGAAATTTAACAAACTATCAGTTCCAGGTTAAAAATACTACCTACTTTGCTTGTTTTATTATTTATATATATCTGCCTATCAGTCTAAACAATTATTAGCAACAAAAAATATCAATGCCCTATTGATCAATGCAATTTAAATTATATATCGAAAAATAGGGCTAACAAAAAGGAAGACAATAACCTTATTTACAAGGAAATACAAAAATGTTTTAAATATCACAGAAATAAGCAAGCAGATCAGCATCTGCACTTGCTAATTTTAAAAGAGAAACAATAGTCTTTACAATATTGCTTTTGGTATACAAAACTTATTTACAATACTTAAGGCCCATTCAACCTGCTACGATTAATTTATATAGCATAAAAGGTAGCATCTGCTAAAATTGAGATATCAACAAAATTTTCTTTTAGGATTAATACTGTCGAGCTTAACCTAAAACAATCACAGCCTTTCGTCCCGTACTATGCCTGCAGAACCATATTCACGCGGCTAAAGGAATCTGGGTGGCGTTTTCCATCGCCCGAAGCAGCAAGGCAGGGCGCAAAGCAATGTGTCCTTGAATGCCTCGCGGAAATCCCGATTAAAGTAGGCATAAATCAAGGGATTTAAAGCCGAGTTGAAATAGCCAACCCAAAATAGCATGCCTATCAGCCAGTCGGGAGTCGGGCAATCGTCGCCGCAGATGGTTGTCGTCACATACCTATAAAGGACAATGTGATCGTATTAGTATAAGTTTTGTTAAAAAATTATGAGCATAAAAAAATAAAACGCAAACCCAAATTGTTGAAGCTATGAGAAAACCGGTTTGTAATTTGGTCGATATCAGAACGGAATGATGAGTAATCAATCTTCAAATAGTTATTAAACAGGAAATTTTCCAATATATTATGTATTTCGCGATCTCAATTATTATAAGAATTCGTTTTCGTTTTAAAATCTCACATCTCTTTCATAGCAAATATGTGAACATAGGCAAGATAAGACGATTCTAGGTTGGAATAAAACTATTCCTGTAATATTTCCCAACAAGCGAACTACACTTTTTCTGACAGAATTTTAGTTAGCTTCAATTGTATTTTAGAATAATCATTTGTATTTAAGGAATCCCCATATGAATAATGGAATTAAATACAAACGACTATTCTAAAATATGATTAAAGGTTTCTCAAATACTGTTGGAAAAGGTGCAGTTCGCTTCTACACATGTTTGTGCCATTTTTTTCCCAATTTTCTTCGATATGGCGTATGAGGTTTACATTTTGATTATACCATTTGTGTGAAAAACGCTTTAACATCTTCCACACAGTATTGGCTCAAATTAATACACCAGAACCTATTTATTTGCGCATATATAAAATTGGTAGGATCAGGATCTTGGTCGCTCCAAGCAGGTTTTCCAAACTGCAAAATATTTGAAATTTGGAAGGTAAAAATCAATTTTTCTTATTTTACATTCGGTGCTGTCGGACAAAAATTTGGAAATGGAAATTATATTGATAAACTGAATATGATAGTAAATAATGTATTCATCTTTCAGAGCTGTTAGCATTTTTATTTAGTTCATATTGGCCTTTGTGCCTAGTGAGAACAAGTTGACGAAACGTTCATTACCCATATTATTTTTTGAGAAATCTGTTAGGCAATATAGGTCATGTCTACTGCCTATATAAACCAGAAGAATCCATTAATTTAAGGTAAACACCTTGAAACCTCAAGGGGTCAAGAGCTCGAAGACTTATTGTCCACACTACAACAAGACATCTTGACCCACAGGAGACCAAGGTAAGAAATGTTAACAGAAACTCTTTCAGAAAGTTCCAGACATACCGTTCTAACTTGCCAAATGCTGCTGAACTAGCATTTGTAACATGCTAAATTGCTGCTGAACTAGCATTTGTAACATGCTAAATGTTACTGTTTTTCTTTTTCCCATGTACTTAATATTTTATAAATTAAATTATTGCCCTGAATGCTGACAGTCTGGTGACTGCCATTATTGAAAGAACTCAAAAGAAGATTTCTGTCGAAAATAATAATAGCAATTATTAACCTAGAGGGCACGCTTTTCGTTTAAATTTGAATTATCAGTATGGTACCAACACTTTCCGTTGGCTTTTTTTTGAAGGGAAGCTCTGCTTGTTCGGCTTATCTTATTTTTCGTCCCATTTAAATTTTGCCATTCGCCCTGAAATGTCGACTCTGGCCTAGGGGGCAGCCATCTTCCTCAACTGTGATTACCGTTCTCGTGAAGAAAGGCACCTTATCGTCCATCAGGCATTAGTTTGGCAGAATAAAGTTGCGCCGGGCATAGTTCCTTTGATACCCAAAAAAATTTAAATCAAAAGTCTCGTGATTACAGTTTTATTCAAGTTTGAATTTCGAGCCCCCTCGTGGTAAGTACTTTTTAATTGTTTTTTTTAAAGTAATGGTTGTTCGAATGGAATGCCTCTATTACTTAGGTTTTTTCCGAGGAGCCGTTTTTCCGAGGAGCCGTTTCTCTCAACCACTCCCAACAAGCCCACATTTTTGGAGAACACCATTTTCGTGGAGTGTGGCATAGAGCTTTTGAAGGAATTCCTAGAGGAATCAAGTCCCTCACGTGTCGATACGTGTACCCCACATTTGACGAAGAAAACTGAACTTCTAGCCTTGATTCCAGGCTAGAATCTGCAACTTCCATTTGCAACTTCCCTCGTTAAGTGACCGAAAATGGATGGCTACCGTAATCCACCTTTTATTGGAATGGAGGCTTGTATAAAGTTTCACTAATAACTTTTAATACTTTTTCTCTATGAAATCTATTTTATGATCAATTGGTATAATTGATTGAATGTTTACTGATATGACATTTGAATATTTTAAAATTTTATTTTCGCATTCTTGACACCGAGGGGATGGTGGAATAATTAATTTTCGGGATTTTAGATAGATTTATCTTTACCTAACTTTTAATATTTCCATGTTTTAGGAATGTGAATTCTATTATTCATAATCAATAATCTGAACTGAAGTCAAGGTTGGACAACATACTCCAACTATAAAATTTTTGAGTGAGTACCTACATTGTCGAAAATTGATCAGTTTTTAACTTGGGTCCTATACTTATATAATTGAGGATTTATATTATGTCTCCTGACCATTTAACCCAACTTATGATTCCATACAGGTGCAAGTTGGTTTTATTGAATTTATTCTTCAAGCAGAAGTTGACCATATTTATCAATTCAATTTTTTCAAATTAGTTTTCTGGAAACCCAAATCTTTTATATTTTCATTTCATAATAATAATATGGCTAGCGACTGTTAATAAACTTATATGGCAAGTATATTGAAGTACATTCTAATATTAGTTTTTTTTTTTGGAATTTGATGAATCTGATTGAGGGTTAACCTCTTTTTATTGATTTTATTTAAAGTGTTTTGACAACAATTGATTTTATATCTTAAAATTATTCAATACTTGATTTCTGACCTCAGTGTGAAAATACAGTGGCTAAATAAACCTTTACATACAGTGGCGACACTGGAGTTCGCGCCGCCATCTTGTTCCCAACCTCTTGTTACCTTTAAATATTGATATATAAGATTTAAATGGCCATCTATCATAAAAAATTGAAATCGATATATTTGATGACCATTATTAGGTCTATCATTAACGTTGTTTTCCCTGTTTTATGATGGATGTTCACCTAAATCCCATTTATTCATATTTAAAAGGAACAAGAGGTTGGGAACAAGATGGCGGCGTTTTCAATATATGGGATTTTAGAACCAATCAAAAATGAGACAGCAATTGTCGCCACTGTGGGTAATAGAGTCACTGTATGTGAAAATATAGGTATACTTTTTTGATTTGAAAGTTGCTTGAGTGTTTTATTGGTTTTACCTATGTCAAGATTTGGTTGAGCTATATGCTTTATTTATTTCCTTTCCAGAATTATCTATTACCGTTTGCTGATTATTTTTTCTGAATTTTCACACTTCAATATTTTATGTAATTTAATTATTTATTTTCTTTTAATTCAGTGGCGCCCTTGCCATTCTGTACTTATTAAACTATTAACCCACTTCTAATGATTATTCGCTGAGCAAACTGAGCATATTATGGCCCTCTTGTTAATTCATTGCCAAAAGGGGTACGAGATGAAACAAACCTCAAAACAATCCGATATGGGGGTAAATGATGATCTCTGCAAGAAAATTTGCAGGATTTCCTAGAAGAGGGGCAAGCAAGCCTGAAACTCCAACGTACATAAGAAAAAATGAGTAAGGCTTGAAAAATAGATAGACCTACTATCAAACGGCTATCGTTATTGGTTCTGAAAGACCTAGGTACGGCGCTGAACAATTTCGAAAAATGTTGCAGAAGAATTTCAAATGAGGACTATAGAAGGTACGTGGAATCGCAATCTGGCTATAGTTGATAAGCGGAGCGACTATTCGACAAGGGAATATTCAACTCAGGCGTATCTAGGCCACCCGTGAGCGAAGGCTCCTAGATAAAATAGGTAACGAGGACTTGGGGCAAATACAAACATATCTGAGAAAAGAAAAAACCATAATTTCAGCATTGAATAGACTTAATGAGTTGGTATTAGTATATTATGATAAAGACAAAGCCGATGCTTTTGCAGATACCTACTGTAGAATGGGAAGGCCGCCTGAATGGACACCCAGATGACGATAAACACCACATATATTGATCAGTACGCCGCCTACATGAACTCTGGTATTGCGGCCACGATCACTTCAGTCCTCAGGAAATTCAGAAGATCATCGAAGGTCACATACCAAAATGCTGGAAGCACGCGGGAGCGTTTGTGGTTATGAAAGAAAAGAAAGACAGGACGCAGTATCTTTCTCTTCTGAGCATGGTCCCAGAGAACGTCAGTCCGCGCTACAACAAAAAATCGTATTGCTCAGATATGTGAATTCTTTACGAATATTCAGTTTCAGAACAGGTCACTCTTTCAAGCTTCAATCACTCAGAATAGAAGAATTTATCACCAACCAGAGCTCTAGGCACAACTTCACCAGACTTACAACGAGTATGGCACAAAGGCCACCGATTCCATTCTGATACTAACCTAAGACTTTGAAGCTGATCCAGCTGTCTGACTTTATTGAGTTAAGATGACTGAGATCATTCAAGAACGGGAAAGCTAGTGGTAAAAGTAAACCAAGGTTAGGTTTAAATATCGCACCTATATACGCCATTCCACAAAAAGATTGCTTCTTGCCCCCTTCAGATTTAATAGTTTGATGCTAAAAATCAATAAATCAGTTTAATCGAAAATCCTCTACCAGCGTTACATAAGCAAATTAAGCTGCACAACATAAACAAAAGCAAATCAGAATTTTGCACTGTCCGCTCAAAGGATAAACGCCGGGGCTTTGATGCTTTTATGTGGTTAAACGGCCATTCCAGAATTTTATTTCATCGACGTTGCAGCCTTGCTATTTACTACCCAAGTTTACTTTGTTTGCCTTCTATTTAACTTAAAAAAAAAACGATATTACAAATTTAGGGGCTTGGAAGTATTTCCCTTTGAAGCCTAATGGCTTATAATTGATTGCAGCAATTTTAAAATTGTCCTGCCTCCCTGGCTAATGAAATTGTCCTGTTTTTTTTGCATGCAGTGTTGGTACTCTAATGGAAATAAAAGAAGTAAAATGTTGATTTTCAGGTAATGGAATTAT